GGTCCGGTCTAGGTAGAAGCACTCCCGAGTAGATCATTAATTGGGACAAAACCTTAGACCCAAAACCGTCCATTTTAACTTAAAATTTAGGTTGAAACAATAACATAGGTTTAAAACCAAACCATTTAAGCTCAAAAAAACCACTTTTCTTATTTAAATCGCAAACTAAAATTTAAAATTTAATCATATATCATTAATAAAATTGATAGAAAAATACTAAGTTAYTTATATGTTAAAACGTTAAACACCTTTATTTATCTATCTATCAGATTCAACACTTTAAACCAATGATAAGAGAGAAACTATAAGAAAACGAAGGAAATAATATATGTGGCTAACAAAATAATCGGTTTTGGGCATGAATCGATTCGGGAGGGGCGAGAACCGGAACCGACCCAATTATTTATTTCAACATAATATTGGAGCCGGATCCTTTATAAATGGTTGGGTCGATTCGGGCCAGACGGGTGGACCTGAACCGTTGACAGCCCCTTCAAGAACATGAATGATGATAGCGATTGTGCTGCAGCAAGGTTGGTATCCCTTTTCCTTCTCCCTTCGGACCTGTATTTCGAGGTAAGGACCTTTCAAAACCGCACTCGATGTTCGTACCTTTGTTATTGAGGCATAAGATTTTGTCCTGCGAAGTTGGTTTTGGATTCGCACGAATTAATAAATTCTGCTAATGCAATTTCTGCCTTGTCATTGCAGGAACATTCTAATGGGTTCGCATTGTCAATTGCCGTATCAAAATGACTGCGATAGTGTAAGCCATCATTGGTTATATTTGTTGGAACTTTTTATAAGGGCTTCTCTTGCTTTATTGCCGTTTTTTGTGGTTGTAACTTCTTTTAATTTTCTAATACTCCCCTTGGCTTCTACAGGCATTTCCACTTCCATGAGCTTGCGTCATTGGAGCTGATTCAAGCGCTCGAATTGGAGCAGTAGTCTGCCGAGGTCTTGCATACGCTGGAGTCCAGAATAAGCCACTCTAACCCATTTCATCTATATTCACTTCTAAACTATTTCTCGTCCATCTGTTTCTGATTAGATATTCTTGACAGGTGAAGGGCGTGAGCGCAAAGGAGACTCGGAAGCGATATGGATGTGGAAGCTGCACAGGTATGCGTTTTTTGWACAATGTCTGCATACCTAAATTATATCATTTTTGGAAGACAAGGTCTGTCGATCGTGGCAGTGGCCATAATATCCTTGGGTCTTATGGGTGCAGGCACGAAGAATGCTCAACTTGCGGGCAGGATACACAACCTCTCGCGGAAAAACTGTAAGGAAGCCGATCAACTCTTCGGTGTAAGCTTCTTAATTCTCAGATTCATTTGTTGTTCTCGTTTGGATGTATGGGTTACTAAATTGCTTTGGTTATATACGTAGTTTTTGATTTCTCGAGGCATTGCTACTTTTGGCGATCGGCTCACTGACTCCTGTGCCTTACCATTGTTCCCGGTTTTCGATACCAATGTAAGTATAGGAAACATCCCGTGTCTAATTCAGTTCCGTTTTCTTTTAATTCCGTAGGATAACTGAATGGATGTTTCTTGTGGGTGTGTCGGTTAATAAATTTTCTATTGCCATTGTTCTGCTTGTAATTTTTCTGAATTTATTAATAATTCTCATCTCACCTTCATGCATTGCCACTTTCAGGAGCTTGCATCTGCGGAGCCGATTCAAGCGTTCGAATTGAAGTAGTGAAAAGCCATGGCCTCGCATACGCTGGAGTCCGGAATGAGTCACTCTAAACCATTTCTTCTGTATACACTCTTAAACCTTTCCTTCTCCACCTATTTCTAATTAGACATTGTTGGCAGGTGAATGGCGTGGGCGTGGAAAGAAGGCTCGGAAGTCATACGGATTCGGAAGCGGCACGGGTATGTGTTTGTTGTAGAATGTCTACATCCCTAAATTTTAACATTTTTGGAATATATGGTTTGCCAGTTGTGAAGGTGACCATAATATCCTTGGTTCTTATGGGTGCAGGCACGAAGAATGCTCGACTTGCGGGCAAGATGCGCAACCTCTCGCGACAATACTATAAGGAAGCCGACCAACTCTTCGGTGTAAACTTCTCATTTCTCAACTTCATTCGGTGTTCTCGTTTGGGTGTATGGGTTACTATTTTGCTTTGGTTATATGTGTAGTTTTAGATTGCTCGAGGCTTTGCTACTTTTGGCGATCGGCTTTCCGGCTCCTGCGCCTTACCATTGTTCCCGGTTTTCTATATCAATGAAAGTATAGGAAACATCCCGTGCATAATTCAGTTCCGTTTTATTTTAATTCCGTGGGATAAATGACTGGATTTTGTTGTGGGTGTGTGGGTTACTAACTGCTCAATTGCTGTTGTTCTGCGTGTAACATCTCTTCGTTTGTTAATAACCCTCATGATTGACACCTTCATGCATTGCCACTTTCAGGAGATTGCATCCGCAGAGCTGATTCAAGCGTTCGAATTGTAGCAGTGATCAGCCAAAGCTTCGCATACGCTGGAGTCCAGAATGAGCCATTTTAACCCATTTCTTCTTTATTCTCGCTTAGACTTTTTTCTTCTCCACCTGTTTCCGACTAGAAATTCTTGACAGGTGAATGGCGTGGGCGCGGAAAGGAGACTCGGAAGTGATACGGATTCGGAAGCGGCACAGGTATGTGGTTGTTGTCGAATGTGCGCATCCCTAAATTTTAAAATTTTTAGAAGAAAAGGTTTGCCGGTTGTGGACGTGACAATAATATCCTTGGCTCTTATGGGTGCAGGCACGAAGAATGCTCGACTTGCGGGCAAGATGAGCAACCTCTCGCGGCAATACTATAAGGAAGCCGATCAACTCTTCGACGTAAATTTCTCAAATCTCCGGTTCATTCGGTGTTCTCTTGCGGTTGTATTGGTTCCTAATTTGCTTGGGTTATATTTGCAGTTTTAGATTGCTCGAGGCGTTGCAAATTTTGGGGATAGGCTTGCCAACTCCTGTCCCTTACCATTGATTCCAGTTTTCGATATCAATGTAAATATACGACACATCCCTTGCTTAATTGACTTGTTTTATCTTTTAAATCCGTAAGATGAGTGATTGGATGTTTCTTGTGGGTGTGTGGGTTGCTAATTACTCTATTCCTGTCGTTGTGCATGTAACTTTTCTTAATTTTTTAATACTCCTCTTGACTGGCATATTCCGGCACTGTCGCTTTCTTGTGGGTGTGTGGGTTGCTAATTGCTCTATTCCTGTCGTTGTGCATGTAACTTTTCTTAATTTTTTAATACTCCTCTTGACTGGCATATTCCGGCA